ATGGGCTCTGAGAGAGAGAACACAGCCCCTACTTACCTGGTGAGGGGCTCTCCTGCCATTCACCAGAGGGCTTTGGAAATAGATGGGAGGCTAGTGCTAAAGGGAATGAAGACTGGGCTTGGAATCAAGAGGCCAGAGTTTACTCCCAATCCTGCCACTCGCTAACCTCACAATCTCGATCTCAGGCAAGACAGTTACCATTCTGGGCCTCAGTTTCCTCATTTGATAAAACAAAGGGGAAGATCACGCTGATTGCTAAGGCCCCTTGCAGGGCTGAGATTCTATGAGTCCTCTGTTCTCAGGAGCAAATTCAACATTTTCTTTGTTAATATCTTGGATTTTACATTTTTTTTTTTTTTTAACCAAAAGCTTCCCTTAACCTCTTTTCCTGATTTGCTAATATTCAAAAAGCAGCCCACTAGCAACTATCCCTCTTAGCAATTTCCTGAGCATGGTTAGTTTTTTCAATCAAGTACAGCATACAATTACGACTTCCTTTTGTTCATTTAATTCTTTTTCAGAGTGAAAAAAGCACTAGCAAAATATATCAAGTATAACAAAGTGGTAAATGAAAGAAGTCTTAAAAACTCCAAGTTAAACATGGCCATTTTTCAATATTCAAATATGTGCCTATCCAGGATCCATTCTGAGTTTTAAAACCTGGCAAGATACTCACTTGAGGGCAAAATGAGACTTAGGTAAACTGCCTTGTTCAAAGTCATAAAGCAAGTTAACAGCAAAGCCCAAATCTTTGGAATAAGATGCCGGGAAGTCTTTCCACTATAGATTGTTATCTTCCTAACCAACCTGTCTTTCTAGATTCTCTGCTACTATTTCTTGGTCTATTTCTTAAAGTCTTCACATACCGAAGACTTTACTGCAACAGGACTGTGGCCAGAACTGTATTTGTCCCATTAGGCTCACCTTGCTAAGGTAAGAAAGTGATCTCACCCAAAGGTATTCCATCTCCACTGACCTTGAATAGGAAATACACATTCATGTCTTGCCAAGAGTTCAAGCACCAAGCCAATATATACTAGGAAGGCTATGGTTTGGAGGAGACTATGAAATAATGACATTTCCCATGCATTCCAAATGTATTAGGATGTATGACTGAATTAAGTGGGACATGCACCTGGAGCCTTCTCACCTTCACAGTTGATAGCCATGAATGAACTGGCCATTTGTCTCTGAAAATCTGCTTCCGAGGAGGAAAGCAAATGATTTTTTAAAATGCAAAACAGGAAGGAACTAAAGGCAGCATGGCATGAGCCTCATTTTTTCCCCTAGCAGGTCAATATGAGATATCACCCCTCCACTTCTACTTGAGACTTTGTTACTTTCCATGGCTATCGGTGCGTGTGTGTTTAAATATTTCCACATTTGGTAATCAGGATCTGTGACCCCCTTTTCTCAAATATGCCCTAATGACACATAGGAAACACGCTATCACTCTCCCAAAATGAAACACACATGAAGACTGTATAACCTTTCCTCTAATTAAGAGTAAGCTTTACCCATGTATTACTAGCAATTTTTCTATCACTGTAATCCCGAGTTATAATGTCTAGAAGACAGATGAAGACCTGCTGGCCAGACTATGATAGTATTCTTTACAGATACTCTTCATTTCTATCATTATTTTATTACTTATTATTATTTTATTATTTTTTTGCGATGGGGTCTATGTTGCCCAGGCTGGATTCAAACTCTGGGGCTCAAGGGATCCTCCTACCTCATTCTTTTAAGACAAGGTACAGGCAGGACAAATGTAAAGTGTTTAAAGGAAACAGATCTACAGGGAAAACAATAACTCACTTTGTACATTTCGAGGGTGCTGGGCTAATGGTGAAAATGCAAAGCAAAAGGCCTAAAATGTGGCCATGTCTGCTTAGGACTGGGATTGGAAGGTTTCCTACTGGGCTTTTAAGAGCTCTCTGCAACTGAGCACAGTGGCTCATGCCTGTAATCCCAGCACTTTGGTAGGCCGAGGCAGGCAGATCTCTTGAGGCCAGGAGTTCAAGACCAGCCTGACCAACATGGCCAAACCCAGTCTCTACCAAAAATACAAAAATTAGCTATGAGTGGTGGCATACACTTGTAATCCCAGCTACTCGGGAGGCTGAGGCCCAAGAATCACTTAAACCCAGGAGGCGGAGGTTGCAGTGAGCAGAGATCGTGCCACCGCACTCCAGCCTAGACAACAGAGCAAGTTTCTGTCTCCAAAAAAGCTCTCTGCAACGTCAGCACCACAGACTCAGCACTGCCCTGAAGCTCTTTTGTAACTGGCTTTTATTGGTTTAATTAACCAAGGCTGGGTGGGACAGATTTACTCTACCTCTGTAATGTTATTGCTGCTGGCTTGTGGCTAGCAGCAGCTCTTACCTTTTGTATCTCATACCTGGCCTGCACAATTAGCACCTTATTATAGGCTGGGCTCTCTTCTAATTGCCACGTCTCAATTTGAGCATTTTATTTTATTGTCTTGTTCATGCAGTAGTTCAAGGTCCTGGGCTCCCCCACTATAATAAACTCTAAACTATTTTTAGGCAGGTGCTGTGTTTTGAGTTTCTTATCTCTTTATGCCCATAAGAACACTAGGGACTCACAGGCATGCAAACACTGACTGACTGAAGAGTTTCTAGATATCCTGAGTATGGCATACGGTTGGAATCTGGGTCTCCATGCATGCTACTCAACCCTAGTATCAGATCTATCAGACTTCTTTGCCATTGAGGGCTCTCTCCTTAGCTATCTGGAGTTAAACTCTATTCTGCTCATATATAACCTTTTGCCTTGTTTAAAATATTGGGCTGCAACAGACACAGCAAAGTCCCATCAGCACCACATTCCACGTTCCTCTAGAAAAATGATTCAAGAGATATGAGTTTATGCTTGAACAGACTTCTTGCTTTTGGAATTAAGATTAACTATATAGTTCATGGGACAGTTACCAATGCCATAACAAAATTGGGACTTCCTTCACCAAATACTCTGGTGAATGTAATAAAACTTGGGGGGAGGTTGTGTAAGGTGATGGTTAGGAGTGTGGGCAGGAGAGCTAGACTGCCTGGTCTCAAGTCCTGGTTCTGCCATTTACCAATGATGTAACCTGTGACCCTGGTTAAGGCATTTAACCTCTCTGTGCCTCATTTCCCAATCTGTAAAATAGGGATAAAAATACTTGCATCATAAGGATGTTGCAAGGACCGAATAATTTTTTTTTTTTTTTGAGACGGGGTTTTGCTCTTGTTGCCCAGGCTGGAGTGCAATGGTGTGATCTCGGCTCACTAAAACCTCTGCCTCCTGCGTTCAGGCGATTCTCCTGCCTCAGGCTCCCGAGTAGCTGGGATTACAGGCATGCACCACCATGCCTGGCTAATTTTGTATTTTTAGTAGAGATAAGGTTTCTCCATGTTGGTCAAGCTGGTCTCAAACTTCCAATCTCAGGTGATCCACCCACCTCGGCCTCCCAAAATGCTGGGATTACAGGTGTGAGCCACCGCACCTAGCCTGGTTAATCTTTATAAAGTGCTTAGAACAATGCTTGGCTTACAATAAGTACTATGTAAATTAGTGTTGAAAATTAGAGTATAAGGTTTTAGAATACACAAACCTACAGAATAGTATGCCCCAATTCATTTATTCATTCAATAAACGAATCTAATAGTGATGGAAAAACAAGATGGTTTAATACTGTGTCATCCTTGACTTCTTGATTTTTTTGGGTTATCATATGTTCTTTGAATTACTTCAATACACTAAAAAATAACTCTGAATTTATGGATTTTAAAGATGTCCAATGCACTGTTACAGCAAAGGTGATAAAAATGTTGTGGCAGCATTTAAGCAGATGATTAGTGAAGATTGTCATTGTTTTAGCAGACAATTTAAAAAGGAACATTCTACTGTTTACATCTCTCTTACCTACTTAGCCTCATATATAAGACATCATTCATAACATTATTTAGCAAATACTGCAGACCCTTGTCCAGTATGGAATTCCTGTCAATTGTGAGGGGAGGGCAGTTCAAATACATGTTCTATATGAAAATCTTTATATAAAGATGACTCCATGGTATCTGAACTCAGGCTTTTCTTCCTGTGTCTTTCTGATCTGTCCATTTGCTGTCACCTCTTAAATCCTTAGTCTCCTCAGATATCCTAGCTTCTAAAATCCCACTTCCAGCGTCTCTCCTTTCTGAGCAATCTCTAGCACATCTAGAAAATGTCATTTATAACATTAGCGATCTCATGTTATCTTATCACACACAGCTCCTCACACAGAACCCAGCTGTCCAACCACACACAAACACACTTATGTGCCACAACAGGTGGGGCACCTGTGCCTTCATTAGGGAGGAAATCCTTCCGGCTTCACCTCTTTCAGTTCCCTGGAAGGCAAAGTCCAATCCTGCAAACTGTCTTCCTTTTAGGTGCCCCTGCAGAGAATTATGTACAGACATACGAAACATCTAATGTCCAGTCTATGAAGAACGGATCATCAATTTTGGAGCTCAGCAGTTTAATGCTTAAGAATGTTAGCAAGTACTTCCTCTCTATAACCTTATCAGACGACCTCCCAATCCCACTGTGCTCACTGATGCCACCATCATAGCTCTAATCACCATGATCTGTGGTTATGTTGGCCCCGGAGCCTTCATCTGCCCAGGGAACTTCTCCCGGCATAGTGTGTTTTACTTGTCTTGTGTTCTAGAGGTAGCACAAAGCCTGTCTATAGTAGGCTCCCAATGGTTAACTGAAACTGTATTTGAAGCCATTATCTGATAATACCAACTTTTTTTTTTTTTTTTTGGTTCATCAAGCTGATTAGGGTTACTTTCACTTTTGAGAACAGGGAGGGTCCTCAAAAATGGAACATCAGGAAAGTCATCAGACTTGCTTTAACCTGCCTTCCTTGCTTCAACTAATTTGGGTTAACTTTTTCCCATTTATCCACACGGCGCCTTTAAAACTTGCACCATACTTGTCCGCCCCGCCTTAATGAGTTCCTTTGGTGACCCCAGCTTCACCTTGCAGATATCCTCTCCAGGTATCCAATACCCATACTCCCACTCGGCCATAGCAAGGGGTTGGGGTTGGCTTTTTTCCCGGCAACTGCTCACAGCTTCCATCAAGCCGGGGTTTCCAGTTCCCGCTAGGAAGCGTCGGGGACGTCCGGGCACTGCGCACCTCGGCAGCGCCGGTTACCAAGCGCCTCCTCCCCCCTGTCTGTGGGACAACGCTCTGGTAAGCACCCGAGGCAAGAGGTCCCAGCAAGGTACTGGGACAGCGTTTGGTCATAGAGAGTGAGCGAGCCAGCGAGAGATATTCCTGGGTGGAGGGGTGGGGAAGCCTTAGGACTAGTGTCCCCCACTCCCGGACCCTTCCCACCGAGAGCTACCTACAGAGGGCTGCATCGCCTCTCCTCTCCTCTTCAGTCATCCTAGGGACTAGAGAAATGGAGGAGAGAAGAGCGGGGAAACAGCACCCCCGGGCCAATCACGACGTCCGCCCCTCCTTAGTCGGGGTCTCTCTCTCTCTCTCTCTCTCACACACACACACACACACACACGAGCTCCTAAGTCAACTCCAGCTCTGAGTAACTACGCCGCACGCCTCTCCCACTGGGAGTCCCCCGGCCCGTGTGGCTCGCCTCACCCCAGCTTCTTCACCCCAACTCCGGTTTCCCTTCCCAACTGACCGTGAAGCCGGAGGCAGTTCCCCAGTCCCAGACCCCGGTGGGGCTCCCGCCGCGGCCGCCGCTGCCTTCCCCTGCAGTCCCCAACCCGGGACCCGGCCTCGGGCTACGGCGATGGCTCCTTGGAACGAGGCGCCGCGGCTCTCTGGACTCGGCCAGACACCGGGCGGCGCGCAGGAGAAGCCCATCGAGCTCCCGGCAGTGGCGGCGGCCGCGGCTGCAGGAGCGGCCGCCGCACAGGTTGATGACGCGCTGACGCGGTGGGTGGGACGTGGGGGTGCGGTCCAGAGGAGGCGACGCGCGCAGATGACGTGCGGCTTGCGGGGCTGGTCGGCAGCATGGCGTCCGTGGCGCTGAGCGAGGCGGAGAAGGTGTACATCGTGCACGGCGTCCAGGTAGCGACAGCAGCGGCGTTGGGTCGGCCGCCGGGTTCAGCCTGGCCCTGCGGGTCGCGGCCTGCCCTGGGTTTGCCAGGGAGGAGGCAGCCGAGCTGCGGCGACTGTCCGTTTACCTTGTGATTAAACGGCTCTGCTGCCGGCGTTTGCAGTTCAGAGCTGGCAACGCGGACGTTTTTAGGACTGTTAGCGCATTTGCAGTTTTGCGGGTCTATAACATTCCGAACCCGGGCAGGAAGCGTTGGGCAGTCCCGGAGGCCTTTTCTTAGTGAGAGCATCGCCCCCGGGGCCATCCATTCGGCATTCGCGCACATAACTGGTCCGAGCCTCAGTTTTATCTTCGAGGAAATGGGAGTTTGGAGTTGGGCTTCTGGCCTGCTTTTCCTCACCTCGTGGTTAGGAGGGGCATGCTAGGTGAACGCACTTTGTAAATACAAATTGCGGTACAAATAAAGGGGGAAGAGTTTTTAAAAAGCGGCTAGGACGCCTGTAATCCCAGCATTTTGGGAGGCCGAGGCGGGCGGATCACGAGGTCAAGAGACCGTCCTGGCCAACATGGTGATACCCCGTCTCTGCTAAAAATACAAAAAAAAAAAAAAAATTAGCTGGGCGTGGTGGCGCGCTCCTGTAGTCCCAGCTACTTCGGAGGCTGAGGCAGGAGAATCGCTTGAACCCGGGAGGCGGAGGTTGCAGTGAGATCGCGCCACTGCACTCCAGCCACTGGGCGACAGAGTGAGACTCCGTCTCAAAAAATAATAATAAATAAATTTTAAAAAGCGGCTAGGCAGCCGATAGCGTAAGTGCTGTTTCCATTTTGCCAATGGAGAACTAAGATCCCTAGGCAGCTGTAACCTAATGTCCTCTGTGTTCTATGTTAAACCCCTGGTTTTGACCACTCGAGAACGAGGGTTGAAACATGTGGGACCTGGAAACGAGCTACCCCGTATCCCCCTCTGGCTCTGTCTCCACTTGTTAACCCACGGTGTGGTCCTCCTATCAGAGTTCTTCATCCCATCCTTGGCAGAGTTCTGGCGACAGCCCCTACCTCTTTTCCTCATGCCTTTCTTCTGTCAGTACCAACTGCAAAATCAGTGGTCCCGTGATATAGCCATCAGATTGAAGCAACCAGCTATCATTAAAGTTCCACAACGTGAGTTAAGGACATTTCCATTTATAAAAATCGTGACCTACTGTTATCTTCCGGGCCCTTTATATATGAAGAAATGCCAGTATTTAGCTTATTAAGCCTGGATAATAAAGTCAGAACTCACAGTTGCATATTTTAGTTATAATTCAGGATTAGCAATAGTGGGACATATGTGTGTATTACTTGGTAACATGTGTTATTTGTGTGTGAGGGGTCATAAAAATGCCCAAAAGCAATTAGATCTGTCTTTCCCTGCTATGTTTTTGTATACACTTTGTTCAGGTGATTTTTATCCTCAAAGTATGATTTTTAGGCACACATTAAGGATAACCATTTTCCTCTAAATTTAAAAACCTTTGGTTTTCTTTCTTTGTTACCGCAGCTTAGCGTGATGTACTGACTCTGTCATGTGTCGTATTTTCTCTCACATTTCATCTCTGAAAGTGGCACTGAGGCATGGACATATCTGTAACTTCAAGGTTAGAGATTTCTCCCCAGCATCCTTAATTCCCATGGCAGTTCATTAGCTATCTAGCAGCAGAGTCCCACCATAGTCATAAATCCTTTATTACTTTATAATGAGTAATAAAATCATTTATATTTATAACACACCTGTTATCTGCTGGGTGCTATGGGGGAAGAAAAGACTATAAGCCTCAGTTCTGATCCTTGAGATGCCTAGGATCTAATTTGGGCAAAGTTAATTAATTTTATTTACCAACATATATCTAGCCACTGGCATGTTATGTGGGAAGCAGTAGGGATGCTAAAACATGGTTGTGAAATAAATGAAAGATAGGAGGGAGACAAACAGAGAGTAAAAGTGAATAAAATAAAGACAAAGGTAATAAGATCTATGCCAAGGAAGTGGTATAGTTAGTGGAGGTTGAAGAAGTTAAAGTATACCAGGGGCCCGGCATGGTGGCTCACGCCTCTAATCCCAGCACTTTGGAAGGCTGAGATGGGAGGATCGCTTGAGCCTAGGAGTTTGAGACCAGCTTGGGCAACACAGTGAGAGCCCATCTCTAAAGAAATATGTATATTTTTTTAATAAATAAAAAGAATTCCAGGGACTTGTAATGCTCTGGAGGCTTCCCTAAGTAGGTGGAATTGTTCCCCTAAATCCATGTCAGGGATTCCTCCTCTGTATCTTCAGGACTCAGTGTTCGTTCATTCAACACAGAACTGAGCTAGACTCGGGCTAGGAAGAAACCTGTTGTTATATAGCTCTCATGCTAGAAGGAAGATGCAGAAATTGTAAATGTACTTGAGTGTTTATATATAAAATTGTACTAGTGCTATGAAGGAAAAAACAGGGACACGATCTAGACTGGGAGGTCAGAGGAGTCTTCCCTAAGGAAATAGCACGTGAACTGAGCTCTCAGCATGACTGAGAATTAAGCAGGCGTGAGTGTTCCAGAAGGAAGGGATGGTGAGTCTGTAAATCCTCACGTGGAGGACATGTGGAGCCCAGTGGGTGGGCTGGGGGAAATGGTGGAAGATCAGCTTGCACAGGTGGCCAGAAGCACGATCCTAGAGGTCTTAGAGGCTCAGTCATTCCCTCCTCATGGACCTTGGAAGGAATAGCCTGTTGACTTGTCTGTATGGGGGACCCTTAAGGCATGGCCAGTGTCTGGCACTTGGTAGGTTCTTAGTAGCATTGAATGAGTAAGGTAAGCTTTAAAGGAGGAATTAATTGGATGGTGTTTTTGTTTTTTAAATCAAGCCTCCCTCTCACCAGTACCATGGACATACTTGGCCACAGTTGTTGGTAAATGCTCAACTCTGTGTATCACAGAGCCATGCAGAGTAATGGGCTTCAAATCAACATCTTCATAAGGGCTTATTAATGTTGGCCAAAAATATGCCATATTTATAGAGGAGTAAAACACAATTTACACCATTCAAATAAAGGCAGGATGCAGGTGAATGAGCCTACCATGAATCTCCACTGATTCAGTTCTGAAATCTCCTACACTTTTCTTGTGTTGGTTATAGAGTGCCAGCAGTGCACCTTAAGCAGTGCCTGCCTGGACTCCTGTTGCTTGTGTAGTCCTAGTCATTTTGTGTTTTACTTTTCACCTTTGGTCCAGTAAGGTCTGTTTCAGCTTCTGATATCACTTTCCCTTCAGCCTTTGGTTCTTTTGCTATTTCAGGGAATATTTCATCTTGTTTTGGTGATAGTTAGAAGCAGTTGAAATTAACCTCATGATGTTGTGTTGAGGATTCAGTTGCTAGTAATGGTAACCAACACACTGGCTCAAGAAAAATAGTATGGATTACAAGCCTGCAAGTGTTTCTCCAGGAATCCAAGGGCACTTGGATGAGCAAGGCTCTCCCTTGCTCATCTCTGCTGCTTTTTTTTTTCCCCCCCCCTCTTTGCTTTGTTTTTGTCTCCCTGCAGATTAGTTTTCTATTTCTTGGGCCAGTGGTAGAAAAAATGTGGTTCCTTCCCAGCTCCTCTGTAAAAGAGACCATTCCTTCTCGTTCAGTTCCGAACTCATGTTTCCAAGAGAAAGAAACTCTAGTTGTTTTTGGGGGTTGAGGGAAAGGAAGGACAGAATAATTAGGCTCAAACATGGCCACTAGAGGATGTGTCATACTTGGGAGAAGTCAGTTTGTGAGAAGGGAGGATGGATCATTTTAGTTTTTGGCAGAAAATGGAACCACTTCAGATAGTTCAGGAGACTTTTATGATGGGACTCTAGAGCAGTATGGATGGGTTTCAGGGAACCAATAAGAGATGTTGAGGAGCCCCAAGACAAACAACTGCTGGGAGTGGCTACTGCCCCTAGTCTAAAGGGGCCAGGGGAGGAAACAGTATTACCACATTTCAGTGATAGCTGGAACTGTGGAGGAAGGGCTTCCCAACATAAGTCATAGTCTTGGATAGATGCAGGCAATATCAGAAATGTGGCCCCTAGATTGGGGGTGAGGGGCACCCTCTGATCTGGTATCTTCCATTGGACAAACCCAACCAGAAGCCAGCAAAGGGAGTCTAGGTGAT